ATGGGCAGCTCGTACGGGCCGGGAACCTCCATGAGCACAACGTTGCCCTCCTTGAGCCCGTTGTCGGAAAGCGTATCCTTGACGTCTTTGAACATGGCGCTGACAAACTCCGCGTTTCAGCGGGTGTAGATGACGCCGGTGTGCAGCTTCTCGTCGACCTCGCAGTCCGGGAACTAGAGGCCCATGTTCGAGCAGCGCGGCGCGACACGGCCACATGCGGGCTGCGCGCGGCGTGGCACCACGCACAAGGGCACTTGAAGAGGCGCACCCAGGAAGCACGAGCGGGCTGGCGGGCGCAGCGCGGCGCTCACTGCAATGGGCACGAGGGGGGTCACGAAGGCCATTGCGGGGACATCCGGAGGGAACGGGCAGCGGGTAGGGATGGGAAGAAGAGCGGTGCGGTCAACGAGATGGGGCCGCAGGTTCGGGGCTTGGTAACAGAACCTGGAGTGAGGCGGCGAGACGAGGAGACGGGGAGACAAGGAGACGGGGAGGCACACCGAGGCAGGAGGGAGACGGAAGGACGGAGGGAGGGACAGAGGGAGGGAGGGACGGACGGACGGACGGACGGACGGACGGAAGGAGGGACGGAGGGAGGGACGGAGAGAGTGAGAGAGTGAGGGAGTGAGGGAGGGAGAGAGTGGAGGGAGAGAGTGAGTGAGGGATGATATTGGGATATTTTGCGGAATCATAGGCAGGGTCGGACGGCGAAAAGCTGTCAGTATTTTTCTAGGAAAATCAAGATTCAGGGGAGTCCGGCGATTGCGAAAGAGCGAACTGAGCGATAGGTCATGCGATTTCTTGAGTTGCTTCTTGAGTTGCTTCTCTCATGAGCAATGTTCCCGTTCTTCAGAATAGTTTGAGAAGTTTGCTGCTGATTTCGTTCACGCCGTAAACTACCGACAGCCTGACAGCATGTCAGCGAGTAACAATCTACCAGCAGTTGGCAAAGATTGGTACACTTGGAGGTCAAGGACGTGGCTTACAACTTTTTATTACAAGTTTCACTATCTACATTTGTCAGTTAGACGAAAATGGAATGCCATTGAAAACTACTATCATCCTCAGGCGATTGCGATGACCCTTTTGGGAATGCGGGTCAAAGCGGGATCCGTTTATTCGAAGCGGGATCCACCTGGGTGATAATGACCAAATCTGGGTGTGATCAACTAATTACATGGTATTATCGACTTAATAGTAGCGGTTCCCTGTCTGTAAGCAACACGTGTGTACAGTAGTGCACACGTGTAGTAGTAGCGTCCGTGCGGTAGTAGTAATTATGGCGCTAGCTTTTTAATTGTGTACAGTACCCGGCACGCACTAGGCGGCAGGTACTGTACTACTGTACTGGGACAGGTGTCCGAGGCGTCCCTCTGAGGGGTTAAGACCTGGCACCCGTCCCCACCAGTAAACTGGGGTGTGGTATAACTACCTTCGTCCCGACCACTCGGAACGAGGGGGGTTAGAGGTAAGGGAGCGCGCGCCGCTGGGTAACCCACGCGAGCGCAAACCGTACGGAAGGACTCGAAAAGAGGGAAGGCTCACGTGGCCGGTGATGCGCAGCAGGTCGGTGGTGTTAGATCCGGACGGCCGGTCACGGGTTAGAAGCCTGAGACTTGGAGGTAAAACCGGACGGAGCTAGCAAAAAGCCGTAAAGGGAAGGGAGGCGAGTCTGCCTCCCGTTTACTGGAACGGGGCAGGTGCCACCGGTCTTAACCCCTAAGTGGGACGCCAGGACACCTGTCCCGCTACAGTAGCTGTTACTTACTGTATACCAGCTACTGTGCTAAATTGGCTGATTTCTGCCATTAACTACTAATTACTAATTACTTACCGTTCGGATCCTACACGTGTAACCAGCGGGGTACAACTGTACTCCGCACCGGCCGTGTGCTGTAAACATAACTCCTTACAGTTCTTCTCACGCTTACAGCCCATCATACTGTATTCCGGGGCGGCAGCGGTAGTGCGATTGCCTTCGCGCCGTTGTACTACATGGGGCAAGCTCGCCCGCGTCCCTTTGGCGCCTACGTGCGTCCGTTTCGGTTGTCTATCGCGCGCGCCGGCTTCTAACCCGTTACCGGTCGCTCCCGTTCACACACCACGGGACCACTGCGCGTAACCGGCCAGTGAGCCACTTCCTTTTCGCGAGCTCACCGGATCGGTTCAATTAGCGCGTCGCGTCCGCGCCACGTGCTCCCTCGCTATAGCTTCCGTCTCTCACCCAACCCAGGGCGGAGAGGAGTTATCCCTCAAGTTACTCGGACAGAGGGACTCGAACACCCTGGTGGTGACTGTGCCTTATGTCGCGTATTCTACAGCCAGAGTTATGCCCTCGTTGGCGGTGTAGATGTGCGCTGCACTACAGGGGAGATTAAAAGCATGGACATAAGTGATTGTATGGTGACTAGTTATATTATGAATGGATAGTTTATGGTAGTCTAGCATGTACTGTATTATTTTCAGTTCCAGTTACTATTTCTATAAAATGCGCGGAGTTCGGACGGAGAAAGCGGAAGGGGCAAAATCAACCACTCACTAACCCTGAGAGCCACCCAACCTGCAACCCCAGGTGTGTCCAACTTAAGAACCGCTTTGCAAAACCCACTCAACAAACGTATTTCACTCTGTGCATTTTATTATCCCTGCACATCGCTAAATTGATGCTTCATTTTATCGATATTATGCAAAAGTTACTTCAGAGATTAAGAGTTGTCAAGTTGTATGATCAGAGTCGGGGTGTTTTGGTAGCAAAGCAAGTAACCAAGTGGGCGACGTTTTAAACATATCTCTGTCCTCGCCTTCTCCAATTTTGACTTGTATTGTTATCTTTGTAATTACACGACTATTATTTGCAAAGTTCATGCATTTATAATAAAAACACGAACCCTCGCCTTCCGCTTTCATGAAAGTGCTCTCCCCAGCTGCCAGCAATAAGGTAACAAAGATTATGGTTTAAACGACAAGAAGAAAGAGAGAGGTTCGCGAAAGATATAGAAAGAGGTTGATACAGGAGGAGAGAAATACTACACTTCGCTAAGCAGCTTATTTCGCTCGGTACCCTCGTTCGGAGCGGGAATTCAATCCGGGGCCTCGCAGGCGTGCCTGTTATCAGCAATTTATTTTCACTGCACCGCAAACTCCCTTCTCCTATCAACGGACTCTGCGGCCATGAAGTGTCAGCGACACTAGTGTTTAAATGTAGTGCATTGCGCCCTAGCGTGCTCATGTAATTTGTACGCGAACTACATATTACACTAAAACAAAAAAAACCCTTGCGCGCGAAAGGTGACAAGCTTCGTATTCGAATCGGATTGGAAATGGGTTTCAAACATGGCAAACCGATGGTTGGTTTAAGAAAAAGAAAGGAAATAAATAAGAAAGAGCCAGTCGGTTTGAACATTGGAAGCAATATCTGCATACTATTTTCTTTGTTTAACTAGACTGGTAGACCTATTTCTCAGGGCCAGTCCTAACAAAGGACTTTCCTCTCGTTTTTCCTTTCCCTCGCCCCGTTTTTATTGAGTTCTTCACTAAAATCGGAAGCACATTGCTGTAGTTTTTACTGTAATGCCATCCCATAGTTCCACTCCTCGGAAATGGAACAGAGTCTGGACGGTCTGCAGATCCATGCAGCATGGAAGGTACAGCAACGCCTCCTCGCGCATGCACATGGCCCAGTCTGACTCCCTGTAGCTCGACAAAAGCAAAGCTGGACGACGTGTTGCTATAATGAGGTCCCTCGATGTGCATGACCAAAACTGGGCTGGATTGAGATATGAAACGAAAGATATGGAAGGGATGGAGGGTGCGGGGAGAGACTGTGTCGGTGTCGATGTTAGGAGGATGACGCGGTGGCGGGGACAATAGCATGTCGGAGGATGTGTGTTGGTCACGGTACTGAGGAGGTGAGGAAGATGGTGATGGGGCGTGGTGGTCGGGCGCGAGGTAGGGGTGGCGGGGAGGAGGGGACGTGGGGATTTTGGGGGGGACGGAGATAGTCACAGCGCATCTGAAACACCGGAAGGGGAAATAGAAGGGGGGTTGGTGGCGGGGGGGAGGGAGCGAGGGCGGGGTGGTTCACAGGAAAGGGATTTCGGGGAAGCCACTTCATCATCGATCATGAACTAGAGAGCAGCCTCCCCGGCTTCTCTCCATTTCACGATCGATGCCAAGGAGGCATTTGATTTCAAAAAGCTGAACTCTGGGTGCTGAACTCTGGGTACCCTTCTGCCGTCCGGTGGTGCTCCGTTTCCTAAACAGAGTGTAAAATGCTAGCAAACGACTGTCGCAAATTTCACGTGGGCGTCGAGGCGGGGGAGGGCCGAGTTGTGCACATAAAATGGCGGGAGAAGGTACTGCGTCTGGTTTGTAATGTTGAGAGAACTAATGTTTTGATCTGCATGTGCTCGTATTTGGATTTAATTCCACACTTTCATTGTACTGCAAGTGCCACTGCACCGCATCGAGTCCATGGAATTTTAGTAGTGTGCATATGGACTGGGTGTGGATTGGTACTTCCTTTAGCCAATGGATTTCGACCAGTTCGCAGAATTACCAAGCATTACAGTGGTTCTGTGTAGCATTCGTTGTGGCGTGCGATTAATTTAATGAAATGATCCGGCCAATAGCGTGACCGCAACTGGTTGAAGGAAAACAAAAGAAAAGAAAAGCGCCTGTTAGGACTGGCCCTCAGTATTGTGACTTTATGCTTTGACAGGTGCCCTGCTGGACATACATACGAAATGGGCACATATGTGCGTAGTATGGTTCGCTCTCAATCAGTCGCAGATGAGAAAGATTTTATTACGCACTGCTACCACTCTGTAAGCTGTTTAGTTACTGATCCAGCTACGATGAAATTCGTCTACTTCCTGCTTCAACTTTTCATCTAGGACTGCATCACTAATATCATCTGTGATAAAGTACAGAATCGAGAGACCGAGAGAGCAGTGGTCGGCTTTCCAACTATTTGAATACCTTTCCCTCTTAAAACAACATTAGTCTCCCCTTCGGCATTCATTCAACAAGAGGCCAAAAACATCACGCGGGCGTCTCGTTCCAGCCGGACACCGAATACATGTGGTTCTGTCTTCACCGCGTGTGGTTGAGTTGGGGTCACATGAGGTGCATACAGAATCTCCTGTCGACGCAGATATTGACCCGGGCGGGCATTTTCCACAGAAACTGTCGATAGAAGAAGGAAGAACGTTTCCGAAACCACGAGGACATACAACACAATTCCCATTCAGCAACCCGTACGACAGTCCCGAGTATGACAGGGTACGGCACATACATATTCTCGGAACAAAGATACTGCGATGGGTGTTCACAGGGCATTTCTTGCATTTTGTCGACAGACCACCGTTGCTTGTGTACATACCACTGCTCGCGCCACCTGTACCACATTTTTCACAATCTCTCTTGTTCCTTACGTATATAGAACCATTAGAACAACGGGTACATTTTGAACCTTTGAAGAATGTGCCGGGAAGAGGACAGCTCCTCGCAGAACAAGAACCCGCTGCATCCCTAATCTCGCCTGGAGCACACCCTGTTTCATCGACTTCACACGAAATACGTGAGGGTAACAGCAATTTGGGGTCCGAAATACCAATCGGACTTCTTGAGTCTCCCGGGCACCTTTTGCACTCTGTGCTTCCTATTTCATCTTGAAAGGTGTTGAAAAGGCAGAGATCACATTCTAGCCTTCTCGACTTGTTGTTAAAATACCCCTTGGGACACGGATGACAGCTCCCCGGTTGAAGTGTCCGTGCCCTTGCTAGATTTAGGAGAAGAACTTTATTATAGGATGGGCGACTCCAGTAGAAACCAGATGGGCAAGGAATGCATCCTCCGTTTCCGTCGTCCATTGTTCCTGGAGCGCACTCGCAGCCCGAGTTTTCGAAAATGGAATGATCCCCAAGCGGAACTTTGCCTTTGGGACATTCACCGCATTTGCTTTGAAGCCCTCCCCGACTGACTCTCGATCCAAGGCACGGCAAACACTTTCCTTTTTTCTTGAAGAAAAAGAAACCAGGCATACATGCTTCACACTCTCCGCTAGCATTTTCGAAAGTCTCTGAACTACATCCTGTGTTTTTGTGCTTGCATCCTGCCGGGCGCAGGCCAAGTGAATTTGAGCCTCGCGGACAACGAGTGCAGCCGGAACTACCCACGAGATAACTGTACTGCCCCTGAGGGCATGGAGAACATGAAGTCGCCCCTTTTCTTGAGAAGGTTCCCGGAGGGCATAGCTTGCAAACAAAGGATCCCGTAGCGTCACTATAGGTTCCCTCCTGACAGAGAGGGCAGAGAGAACTATCCTCTTCGATATCTTGTCTTCCGTGCACAGTTGGCGTGTTTCGGCGAAAGCTTCCAGGCGGACAGGGTGTGCACGAGGATGCCCCATTCTTCGATGAAAAAGTGCCATCTGGGCATCTTGAGCACATACGATTCCCGTGTCGCTCTGCCTCGCTAAAGAATCCGGGCTTACAAGGTTGGCACGGACCTCCGATGGCCTTTAATTCAAAGCCAGCCCTGCACTTGCCACACTGATCAGATCCGGCGAGGGAAAAGTCTCCAGATTTGCATTTCAGGCAAGTAGACGACCCAGCAGAACTGTAGAAAGACCTTGGGCATCGAATGCATTGAGCTATAGATGAGGCGCCAATAGATTTCCTATGAGTTCCGCCCGGACAGGGTGAACAGGAAGGTTTGTCCCACATTTCTTGAAATGTACCAGCCGGACATGGTATGCAGTTCTCTCCCTTGCGAGAGGTTCCTGGGCCACATTTCGTTCTAGCTGCGATCAATCCGAAAAGTGTTAGAAAGCAAACGAAAGCGAAAAACTTGATACACATGTGTGTGAAGGGTTTTCGGAGATTTGGTGTTCACTATGTCGAGACTCATCGTAACTTCGAGTCTTCCATTCGAGCAAATCTTATATACACTGCCGAGAGCTGGTGGTATGGGTCTTGAGAATGACAATTAACAATTCACGCCTCTAGGAAGAAGGAAGAAGGAAGAAGAAAAGTGGAGTGCCTATCAAAGAGTTACGGAAAAGGTCTAGCAAGCAATGCATATTCCTCCACCCCTCGTTCAAAGTTGAGTGACAGGTGACGCCGTGTGTCGTGTGGAAGATGTCATATTCTGCCATCTTCAGAAGGCGTCTGTATTAGAAAATTGCGCTCAACGACTCAAATCGCGTCACTCTTTCGTCCAGAGTCCTGCCGGATGAGAGCTGCTAATTTTAGTATCAAAATGAACCGCTCAGTACCCTTTGACGAGACACAGAAAATTGGAGGAGCGAGAGCATGTTCTGGGCAGAGGAGGCTGGCGGAGGGGTTTGAATGGTGAAAGGGAATGGTGACAAAACAGGGTTCTTCCAGCATCATGTTCGGCTCTTGCGCATGTATACGGTAAGCAGCGCGCAGTGGTACCGTGGGTATTGGGACGATCCAAAGACTGTTGTGATTCGACAATATACTTGACAGGGACATTCTGGGCCTTTTTTTCTGGCTTATGTAAATGCTATGCATTTGCTTCCGGCCAGATGACGAAGACTCACAGCCATGAGAGGGATCATTGTGTGAGTGGCATTGATACAGATAAATTCTTTGATGAATACTTTCCGTGAGATAAATACCTAATGCGCTGGCGAACTGTCGCAAGTACACTTCGATGATCTGACAACATCTCAATGGGTAATGCCTGAGGTGCGTGTCAACGAGAGCTCAGGAATCCTTCTCTTAAAGAGTTACAGTACTGTCCCTCGATGGTAATTCTGATGAAAATTTGAGAACAGAAGTATATTTGTGTGAGCAGATGGTCATCTATCCATACACGACTTAGTCAAAGAGAGCCTTTCCAGAATGCCTTTCATGTCCAGAACGTGATGATAGATCATGCTGTAAAGATACTGGAGTTTACCAAGCTTCTGATCTAAAAAGTCTGTGAGTGTGCTAGAGACCTCTCAAGAGGTCTCTAGCACAACTCACAGACTTCTTTCGTGCCATTGCACCCCTTCCTTGATTTTTCAATAAAAACCGAATGCTTTTCGTAACAGTTACGCGCGCGAGCTGGATCGATTACACTTGCAAGGTACAGTATTGCGATGGGAGCCGTGGTGGAAGGTATGGCGCGGGACTGGAGCAAAAAGATGGGGTTTGCTTGCACACGTAACTCGGATATATGATGCGGGGAAGGGCTGTACAAATAAGAACAGGGGAGCTGGAAAGGGCAGGCGGGTGTTGCTGGTACAGTGCTTTTTGTGACGGCGCCTTCTGGCGGGATGAAGAATCGCTCAGTATTTGAGTTGATCCCTATTGAGCCTGACCTCGGTGGGAAATGGCGTTCTGTGGTTTGAAGTTACGCACTCTGTTTCGACGTCTGCACATTTGTGTACCTCATTTGGAGAAGCGTAGAAATGTATTGGAGCATCGCAAAGTCAACGTCACCAGGGACCAGAACGGCCTGCAAAGTATGAAACGGACAATTCAGCGCAAGCGGACATGCATTCTCACTACAGCATTGCATGCGTAACAGCTTGTTCCCTACGTGCCACGAAATCCTGACCCCTCAATTTTAACTTCGGCAAAATGGGAGCCAGTGGCCAAACAACAGAAACACTTCCCTATTGCAAAGCGCGAGCCGCAGGCGGTTCGAATTGGAACGCACACCCAGAAACCCCATGTCCCCCCGCTCCCCTGACGACGCTGTCGCAACGCAGCAACGACTTGTCTAGCTGGTCGAGGCGCCCAATGGCGAAGGGCGCAAGAGGCGCGCACTTAGTAAGATGATGCAATTTATGAGGCACAAACCGGAGGACTGATGCGTGATGGTTGCGGGGATTTCACTTCACATTGTTTCTACACTGTAGGAAGTTCCCCCATGAGGATCACGCAATTAGGACGCAACAAAGTGCTGGAAATGCGATTGGAAACGGATGGCACGTGGAGAGGGCGTGTGGACGCCGGGTTGGGTCGGAGGCGGAGGAGACGATGCCTGCAAACCAAGGGAGCGAGTGATTGCGCGCTCTTGAAGAAGAAGGGATCGAGGAGCGACTCAGAGGTTTCATTCAGTACTCTGGTGCCGCCCGACAAGGCTCGTTTGATATCACTTTGCTCCTCCTGTGCTCGCAGGAGAAGCTCGAGTCCTAGCAGGCGAGAACGTTCTCCCGGCGAGCTTGCGGGAAACATGCGTCGGAAGACAGAAAGCTGACACCTGGAGGTGTTCCAGCGCACAAGAAGTGAAACGTATGACACGTGTGGAACGCACACGCATACCTTCCCTGTAGCGAAACCAGTCTCTTCTTTTCTCCTCGCCACGGCCGCGATCCACCTCCCTCGTCGCAAGCAACTCGTCACTATGGCTTCCGCAAAGCAGCCCATCCACGCAATCGCCTCACCCGCAGACCTTACCACTCTCATCAAGGTACGAAATCTTCCTCTCCACTACTACCACCCGCATCTCACTCTTGTCCAACTCAGGCCACTAACTCCTCAACATCACCCCACCGAATAGACCGACGCGCGCATCGTCGTCAACTTCCACGCCCCATGGGCCCCCCCATGCGCGCAGATGAACCTCGTCTTCCGCGAGCTGCACGCCTCTCAGCCACTGGACAGCACGCTGCGCTTTGCCTCTGCAGCCGCCGAGACGCTCCCGGACGTGACGGCACAGTACGACGTGTCGGCCGTTCCGACGTTTCTCTTCTTCGGCAAAGCCCGTCTCGTGCGTCGCCGTTCCGGCGCCGACGCAGCTGCGCTTTCCGCAGATGTGGAGTGGCTGCAGCGCGCGGACGAGGCCGCGCTGCGCGCCGCGGCGTGCGAGATGGTGGCGCGGTTGGGCGAGATCACGGTGCTCATGAAGGGCACGCCTGACAACCCGCGCTGCGGGTTCTCACGGCAGGTGGTGGAGCTGCTGCGCGGGGAAGGGGTGGTGTTCCGTCATGTGGACATTCTGGCGGACGAGGAGATGCGTGCTTCGATGAAGAAGCACGCAGATTGGGCGACGTACCCCATGGTGTTTGCGCACGGGAAGCTGGTGGGGGGCTTGGATATTTTGCGCGAGGTCAAGGAGAATGGGACGCTGATCGAGGAGCTTTCGAAGGGGGAGGGGGGCAAGGCGGAGCTGAGGCCGCCGGAGAAGGAGGAGGCTGGGGCGAAGGAGGTGGAAGGGGAGGCAGAGGGGAAGACGGATGGGGAGGATGAACTGACGGGGAGGTTGAAGGAGTTGACGAGACGGGCGGCGGTGATGGTGTTTATGAAGGGTGAGCCAGACGCGCCGCGCTGCGGGTTTTCGAGGAGGATTGTGGGGCTGCTTCGGGAGGAAGGGGTGGCGTTCGAGAGCTTTGATATTCTACAGGACCCGGAGGTGCGAGCGGGGATGAAGGTGTTCTCGGACTGGCCCACGTTTCCGCAGGTGTATGCGAATGGGACATTTGTGGGGGGGCTGGATGTGGTGACGGAGCTGCGGCAGGCCGGGGAGTTACGGGGGGAGCTGGGTATTGGCGCTTTATAGATAGAACGTTGGGAGGTGGGGAGTAGCGAAGCACGGGGCTGGGAGGGGGTGGCGGCGGGCGGGGAATGGACGGACAGAACGATGCAGTGAGATGCACGCTGAATGCGGGGCCGCTCGCTCTTCCGCGCACCAATGAAAGCCTCGGTCCGTAACGGCCGGCGTTTTTTCGCTATTGCCACGTGTACTTATCTTCCATTTGCCTCATCTCTCCCGCCCTTGTCAGCCTTTTATATCCCCCCCCCCCCCCACCCCCCATCCTCATTCCACGCCCATTACAATCACATCATGGCTGTTCCCGGAATACTCGGAGAATACATCGCTAAGAACTATCGTCGCCTTCTCATCTGCGTCGCACCGCCGCCACCCGAGCGAGACCCACAGCTCAGCGACAACGACGACCCGCCAAGGCCGCGGCGTAGACGCTCGTCAAATACTCGCAGGTCAAGGGCGAGGCGTTCCGGCAGAGTCAATGACGGAAACCCAGTGTCCGAGGAGAGGCGCGCCCCAAGGATGGTTAGGGGTACGTTTTCTCACTTTCTGTCGTCTCTTCGTTTGTACTACAAGCGTGCTGCTGACGCCTGTCGTTCCCGTCGTAATTCCTATGCTTCATCACATGTAGAGGACCCGTTCAGAGGCTGCGTCCAGTCTAGGCAGTCGGACGGACCGCGCCGCTCGGGCGACTTTGTCATCCTGGGCTGCATGCAGGTCTGACACCGGCGCCTGAAGTCGCTCGCTTTCATTGTTGTAGATATATACCTTCCCTATTCATCTCAGTATTCGCACGCCGCTTCGTGCACATATATCGCCGGCTCTGAGTGCGTATGCTCGGGCGTTGCCATGCCAAGCCCTGCCCCCCCACACTTACTCGCTGCCGCTTTACGCCCTCATGCACGTGGCACGGGGAACGGCGCAGCCATGCCAGTTGGGGGGGATGCGATGAGGCCGTGCGCATCTGTGCGCGGTCTTAATCCGCTACCCTGCTTTTAATGTCTGTCAATAAAGGAGATGCATTCGCTAGTCTAAGATATGCGGTCGCTTTGTGATCGCTTTCTTCAAGTATGACGCCCGGTGTCGCGGAGGGAGTAGGTGACACCTGAGCATGGTTTTGTTGTGGGGGGTAGTTTGACCGTGCTTTGTGTACGTGCTCGTGTGGTTGCTTTAACTCTGCGGTCGAGGCCATTGAAAATGTACGTTCTTTTGATAGCGTTTATGGAGACCGAGTTGACGTGGGTTGTGGAAATAAGGGTTTGGGGTCCAGTTCCTTTCGCGTCTCACTCATGTATGATTCTGATCCGGTCTACAGCGGTGGTGGTGGTGGTGGTGGTGGTGGTGGTTGCTTATAGTCCTTGTTGGATATATGTTGCAGTTGTTGGGGTCATAGGCACGGTATTTCAATGCGGGGCATGTCCTGATGTCCACACCGCGGACCTTATCTGGTAATACAGCGCAACTGTTGAGTAACAACAAACAGAGATTGTTCTGATGTCCACACCGCGGACCTAATCTGGTATTGCAGTAGAAATCTTGAATAACAATAATCGGGATCTCACGACGTCTGCAATGGATGCCCATTTCACGGCCGATGGTATGCTGCCTAGAGTGCACTGAACTGTGTTGCCTCGCCGGTGGTGCGGTTGGAATTGTGCGAAGATGCGAAAGTCCTTCGCTACCAAGGTAGTTTGCGTCGGCAACAGGGGTACTGTACAATATGTCTGATCGAGCGGTTTTGGAAAAACTTTTTATTCGTTTAATCAAGGGCACCATTCGCTGCGAGGCAATGAGGTGTCGAGAAGCGGAAGTGTGTGAACCAATGCAGTGCATGCATTGAACCGAGAACGCACCCCTTGTAGAGGGCTTGGTCCTCGTCCACATACCTTATCCCCCCGCACGGCACGCAGTTGCACGGATGAAGGCGTACATATGCATGTGGAGGATGCGGAACACGAGAGCGACATTGGCATAGCACGGGGGTAGGTCTGCGATGGAATCGGGCAAGACTCCTGCGGTATAATACGCGGTATAATATTATAGTGCGACAGCCATGCCACACCACTTGTGCGCATGTTTGACTTGTATGCTCTCGTATCGTTTGCCGCCGGCGAAAACATGGCAGGGTTGGATTGCCATCTCTCTGTCATGATTGGGTGTGTTAAAACCACACGTTGCGGCCCAGTGGATTGCATGCAAAACGAGGGACCGGGCCCTTTCTTCCGCTGTTCCGCGTTTTCGCGAGTTTGAAGGCCCTAAACTTATCGGTGCGATACAGAACTGTGGGACATGGGACCCACCTCAGTCGCATCGTGAGAGAGGGGAAAGAAAGGGAGACGGCCTCCTTATTCCATGTACAGTAAGGGTACTGTAGACGTACAATTCACTCTCCACTCTCTCTCGCTGCGCCTTGTTGCGCAACCGCCCCGCCACGCCCCGCCACGCCCCGCGGCCACCCCGCCGCGTGCGCCACTACCTGTCCCCCATTTCCCGCATGACGAGGAGAGCTTCTCTCTTTCGCCTGTCTGCACTGGAAGACGTGTACTGTAGTGCACTGCTTCTTCGTTTCGTGTATGTACCTCGAGTGAAAATGGCTGTGCAAAGTCAACGTCGGGATCGGTAAACCAGATCCCGCTCTCTTCCGCACGCGACGAGCATTTGTCGCCCACGTCTGGGGCGAGGTACGGTGCGGCAATGAGCCGTACACTCTCGAAGCATGCCTTCAGGAAGGATAAAGGCGGTGAAGATGAGGTTGTGCAATCTCTGCTGTCGCTTTCCGGTTCATAACTAAAATTACCAAATTGCCCCTTTTTCTCATTTGAGCCCTTTCTGCACGTGTGTGAAAATGTCAAATGGCTTCAAACAGGTTGTTTTCGCCCGCGTCCTTTCGTCGGCTATGGCACATGGACATCCCACTGGCTGTAGCAGACGCTTTTTGGTAGCCCAGGATAGTGCCATAAAACGCTTGTTAGGCTCCGTCAAAATAATTACCAAATTGCCCCCTCGGGGAAGGGTACAATGTGTGTTCTTAAAGAAGCACATGACGGGTGGCGCGGGTTCCATATGGGTTTACGCAGAGGAAATAGATTTTAACGAAATGGTAAATCTAGTGAAAGCAGTTGAAATGTAGATGAAACAAGGCGAAATCACACAAAGACGGCACACAGCACCCCCGTGCATGTGCAAGAAAAGGCTAAACTTATGAGCAGGCTCTCAGCTGCAGGGTCAGTGGGGAAGCAGGGAAGCAGGGAAGGAGGGCGAGAGGAAGGCTTGCTGCGTGCAACAAAAAAGGAGAGTGAGGGTGTGGGATTTACTTACTGGGCAAATTACCGGGCAACGATCTCGTACACGTCGATGATGGTCTGGTCCTCGACGTGGTCGATGTTGAGATGCCTCAAGTCCGGGGGGCAGACGTCCGGGAAGCGGGCCAACCACCTGCGGATGTTCTTGACGATGTGGGCGCGGTAGGTGAGCGGCTTCCGGGTCTGGGCCAGGCAGGCGCCGCAGAGCATGGAGGCGACCTCGCGGGCGTTCTCGACGTTGCCTCTTTCGATGAGCTTGCGCTCCGCGGCGTCGATGAAGGCGACTTTCTGCGCCTCTGTTACGTGCCTGTCCGCCATGGCGTGGTTTTGTGGGCGCGGCATTGTGGTGGCGAGTCGAATGTAGATGGGAAGGAGTGGCGTTGGGGGTCTGGTTTGCGGGTGGGTTTGGCGGGCGGGTTGAAAGTGTTGGCGGCGGGAGGCGGGTGCGAAAGGGTGATGGGGGGAACAAGTAGGTGCAGGTGTTTTGGGGGTGTGGGATCAAGGTGTGGGCGGGTGGGGATGTGTGTTATTTAAGGGGTTACAAGGAGTGTGGCAGGTGGGT